ATCAACTATAGACTCATAAAATCTTGAAGCCATTTTAATTCCTTAAAAATCAAGAAACATTGGGTAAACTTTGGTTGTATCCTATATAATAAAAGCCTAATATGCTAAGTGTCCAGTCATTTAGTCATCAGTTCAAATAATCAAAGCATAATATGGTAATGATATGCTAAGGCTGCTCAACTGCTTGCTATGAGGTGCAATGAGCACCAGAGGGCAGACAGTCGACCGATAGACCAATCAGGACTGAGCAAGATGGTCTAGACACACCCTGGAGCCCTCCTAGTCCCTCCCCAGCTGGCCAAACTCCTGTGTCCCTCCCTGGCCCCGATTGTGCACCAGTGGGGTCCCTCGGCCTGGCCTGTGCCCTCTTGCAATCTGGGACCCCTTGGGGGATGTCAGAGAGCCAGTTTCAGCCTGATCCCGCAGACCAGGCTGAGGGACCCCACTGGTGCACAAATTTGTGCACCAGGCCTCTAGTTTATATATAAGAACTAATTTTGCATTCTCATGTCTACTTGAGATGAGCTCTACAGTTTCAAGTTTCTAAAGTATTTATAGAAGAAATGTAATTTCTGAGATGTTTAAATTTCTGCCAGAATCATCTTGTTTTGCTAGGAACTGAAAACAAGATTCCAGCTCTGGTCTGGCCAGTGTGGGGCATAGCTGAGCAGATACTCTCTCAGGTGTGGAATTTATATGAACACAGTAAATGCTGGCTTGTTGTTTTTTTGTTTGTTTGTTTGTTTTGTTTTGGTCAGCCAAGTGACACTTCAGCTCATTTTGAACTTCTTGTCATTTAATCCCATAGTTCTCTTTTATCTGGAAATCCTTAGCAGGAAGACAAAAGGGAAATAATTACCTTAGGCAAATTTAGGATAGAATTATTGGCAAGTATAACATGGTCCTTTAGACTTGCAGTGTTGCTTGTGGGCATCTTGCTGTTAATTTTGCTTTTGAAGCCACAGGCAATGAGGGACATTGTGTCACCCACTTAAGGGAGGTGTGCAGAGTGTCTTGAGACTAATCTACTCAGACTCACACAAGGGCTTCAAAGGGAGTTGAACTCTGGAGTCTTTTTCATAAATTTCTATGTTTTTCTATCCTATACATAATTTTTTATTTATTACTTTTGAGTGACTGAAAGAGATGATATAAAAAGGACAAAACAACTCTTTATAGACTCAGTCACCCAAATGACTCCTCAAAGAAGCTTACAGAACAGCAGTTCACTAACATCTCTCTCTCTCTCTCTCTCTCTCTCTCTCTCTATATATATATATATATATATATATATATATATATATATAGAAGGTTAAGCAACCGTCTGACCAGTAGCTATGATGTTTAATGACCACCAGGGGGCAGATGCTCAATGCAGGAGCTGCTGAGCTGCGGTGACTTGGCAGCAGTGGTTTTCAGGTGATGCACCCTGGAACCAAAGAGGAGGGAGCCTGATTCTGGGTGCATCACCCAAGAACCTCCCTCTTGCAATCTGGGACCCCTTGAAGGATGTTGGAGAGCTGGTTTTGGCCCAATCCCCACAGGCCCGGCAGAGGGACCCCACCTGCCAGAGGGACCCCACTCACTCCACAGATGCCCTTCGAGCCACCATGCCACCCCAGGTGTGGCCTGTAGGGAGGGACATGGGAGGTTGGCTCCAGGGTGTGTCCAGTCCATCTGCCCAATCCCGCCCTGCTGGCCACCTTCTAATTAATTTCCTTTCAATGTGCATGAATCCATGCACTGGGGCACTAGTTGCTTGATAAAAGCAAGTGGGAGCATGTGACGTCTCATCATACATTAACGATACACTGATGAGAGAGGCCCCTGCTGTGTCTGCAGTTCTGAATTTGGTAAAATCTCAAGATTCAGACTCTAAACTGAGAAGAGACCACATTGACTAATTCAGGGCCATACTTTTGCTCCTGAGAATATTTTTCCAATTCTTTTTCTTAAAGTTTATATTTTTATCAGGTCATGTGTGTTTGTTGAGACCCACATTCCTTGTGCCCTAAGGCCTCCATAAGCTGGAATCTGTAGCTGGTCTGCTCCTTTATCTTTCAGCAACAGGGGACTTGTTTTCTTATTTTCCTTTAAAAATTGTATTTCACATTTTAATTTCAAACTTTGCAGGGAATTTCATCAACTATTTGAGTCCCCACTATGTAATAGTTAGTGTATTAGTTGACATCATACAAGGAATGTGTTGAGGATCATTGATTCAGCCCATGCCAGTCTGAATCAAATGACAATGCTTTTCCATTACAACACAGCCACTTATGTACTTATAACGTATGTACGTACCCTGTCTCCTTAGGGAGAGCCTCCTATATTCCAAACAAAGACAAAGTCTCTAAAGTGTTTATTCAAATAAAACTGGTTCAAAAAAACAGTTAATGTGTAGGAAGGCGAATCTACAGCTCTAGACTCCCTGCCTATCAATAGGCACCACCATAATTTGTATCATTTTCTTGCCATTAAAATCCACTACCACCACCCACCCTCCAGATATTCTACCTATTAATGCTTTCAAAGGTGTGAATTATATGTGTCACTCATGAATTAAATCCAATCTTATTGTCAATGTGACCCTAAGAGTATGAATAAATACTCAAAGTCCTTTTGATGCCTAGGTTGTCTGTCAGCTGAACATATTTCTCACATGGATTTTATTGGTCAGTGCAGTGTGGGTTCCTACCACACTATGGTTTTAAAATTTTTAAATTAATTTCCAATATTTAAAAATTGATAATTTTTGTATTTATATTCATGAATAGCATAATTACTTTTTTACTAATGGATGTCACTGCCTCCTTCAAGACAGAACACCTACTTTCTACCAGTCTTTTTCTCTCTCTTTTTCCCCTGACAGTGAAGCTGTGTGTCAGGTTTCATTTAGCATCTAACACAAAGCCATTTTTATTCCTTGTCTGGTCCCTGTAGGCATTTGACTGTGGATCTGTTTCTATCTCATTAAACGACTTTGGAGAATAGTTACATTTACTTACATGTTTATTTTAGTTTTATGGTCAAAATTGTTTTTGGTAATGTGCATTGCATCATCAAACCTAATGAGTGCCTTTTCTCTTTCATTTGGAAAATATTTTTATTCTTAGAGTGCTATTTTCATACCCCAATATTTTGACACAAGGACATCAAATGGATGTAGACAAGAGGACAGTGTGTAAGGGAGGCAGTGGTTAGCTTTAATGAATTTACCATTTCACCTTGAAACTAAAATGGAGAGAAACAAATCCTATAGAAAAAAGAATAATTTGAGAGAAGATGTGAGTTTGGTCAATCTACTTTGACTGCTTGCAATTTGCTTTGAAATCTCTTACTGAAAAGATATCAGAATGTGAAGACTCAAAATTTATCCTGTGTCCAAGTAGCATTCAGAGATGCATTTTTAAATAGAAACAGAAGTCTTAGTTCAGATGAAAATTAGTGTTGCTACTCCCATTGTTCAGCATTTCCCATAAATCAGATGCCATGCTAAGTGACTATATAGTCTCATATAATCCCCTCTATAACTCTGTGATATAGAATATATATCCATTTTAAAGCTGAGGATACTGGGAAATCTCAGAAATATAGTGGTTTGCCCAAGCTAACACAGCTATAATCTCAGGTAGGGCCTGAGATTCCAGAACAAATCTGTCTATTTCTAAAGCTCTATCCTCAAAAATCACTTGTCACACTACTTGTTCCTTGTTATGTTTCCCAAATTATTAATCTGGAATATTAGTTTGTTGTCTCTAAACTCAGAGCTGCAAATGATATTGAAATATAATGTTGGTTTTGAGTGTTCTGTGACTTCTTTGTGGATATGGAGAGAGAACCAATAGGAATCTGCACCTTCATGCTCTTGTTATCAACTGGCTGCATCAAATACCTCATCCTGAACACTGGAGCAGGTCACTATGCCTTCGAGTTCCCATTACCAGAAAGATGACCAACCCTGCATTTAACTGAGGTTGTTAATGGGATGTCTGCCCACTTGAGTGTAGTTCTCAGACTGCCTCATATGATTCAGTTCTGCTCAGATTAACATAGATTTATGACATACTTGTCAAATTATACTTGGGATATATACCAATATATGACTACGCCCCTGTCCCTTCTGTTGTGTGGCCTTAGACAAGCTTCCTACTATATCCAAGCCTTAGTTTCCTCATTGCTAAGCGGGAAAAATTGCACCCCCTGCCATCGGGGTGCTGTGTGGGAAAATAAACTTATTCCTTAGCATATTGCTGGCTCAAAATATTTATTAATTCAATATCAGTTTCTTACCTACATTTTGTTTTTATTTTCAGTTAAATGGTATGTTCTCATCAGTAGTCCAGGAACACAACTTACAAAGAGAAAAAAAAAATCAACAGCTTAGCCCTATTATTTTAAAATTATTTTTCATCACAGGGTGACTAGTCAGTTCCCTACTTGCATGGTTAACAAAGATAAAGCCAGAGTCCCTAACAACCAACATCCTTAAAACACAGAACAATAGGAAGAGCAGCAAAATGAAGAGTGACTGCAAAAACTTGCCTGTACGTAGAGTTAAAAGGTGAAAGAAGCATCCTAAGCTGTTTGACACTGTTGTGGCTGAAACAAGTCCTTGGAGTGATTCACGAGGGATTTTTGATGCCCATTTCAAGTGAGCTCTGGAGACAGGCAGTCTCTTTATGGAGAGAGGCGGCATTTCATGTTCTCAGCATTGCATTGGGCAGGTGTGTGCTCTCAGCCACGGCAAGCTGAAGCAAGCTCTGGACGGACTTAGGGAAAATGTAAAATCTGCTTGTTTGGGGAAGCTGGCCATAGGTTTTGCAATTGGCATTCTAGCCTCTCACACACGTTTAGGAGATGAAAGGCCCTCTGTTACCCTCCTCCCTGTCCCATCCTGCTGCAACTACCCAAATCACCTTTAAAAAGAGGAGCCTTGGTAAAGAGTCCCTAGGTTATCCACGTTTTCTCCTCTTTTGTCTTACATTTATGTTTTTCAGGACAAATGATACTGGTTTTCTTTCCTTCAAAGACCACTTGCCTGTCACTCAGATAGTTATCACTGATACCAACAGATCAAACTCAGAAGCTGCTTGGAGAATTGGTCCCTTGCGTTGCTATGGCGACCGTGAGTACTAATGAAAGAAGCTTTCCTTCTGCACTACATAAGCACAGGATGTCCAAAATCCCCCCTTTCCCTTTCCCCGCAGCTCCCCAGGCTTCAGCATTATCATACACTTGCCCAGCTCTCTGTACCCCATTTCGGAGCAGTCAGCCATGCTCAAGGCTTTTCTTACTTGCAGGACACTTCTGGAACGCAGTCTCCTTTAATACAGAAGCCTCCTACCTCCACTTTCCTACCTTCCATGCGGAATTCAGTGCTGACATTTCCTTCTATTTTAAAACCACGGCTCTCTCTGGAGTGTTCCTAGAAAACCTTGGCATTACAGACTTCATCCGCCTTGAAATAAGCTGTAAGTTCCCTCCTTTATGAATTACTAATGTAATTGGTCAGCAGGAGAAACTTCAGTCTTACCTTTGCCACTGAGTGCCTGTTTGTATCACAAAATTAATCTCACTGGACATCTGTAAAATGAGCAGTGACAATTTCTAGTTCCTTCTAAGGCTTTTTGCATTATTATTACCTATCAGTATTTAATTAGTCATTCTCTCACCACGTTACTGCATCACCCAAATGTTCATGGCTACCTATGGCAGCATTCTTGATCTGATCCATGGGTATTTCTTACCTATGACTTAAGCTTCCAAACCACAGATGTGTTCATGACAGTTTCCATGGAAAGCTAAAGTATTGTTATTATGCCTTCCATTCGTAACTGGGGCCCACTCTTTTTGTTGTACTTTTGCTCTGAAAGTAATTTCCTCACTTATGTTCCACCACTAGGATTGTGTCACTACCCCGTGAGATCCCCATTGTTCCTCTCCCATTGCACCATGAACTTGGGTGTATCTAGTGCATTTGATGACAATACATATCATTTTTAACATCCTATCTCCTATATACAAGTTATATTTAGAAATAATTATAAAGTTAAATGAAAAATAATAGAATTCAGATGGCAAGATGTTCTATTATGAAAATTTAATATGTAACCTTGTCAATAAAATAATGCAGTACAGAAAAAGACAATATAATAGATAAATACTTTCCACTTACATTAATTACTTTTTATAAAAAAGGAAAGATCATACCTACTTATTGGTTTGTCTAGTAACAATAATAACATTAAAATTTCTGTTCCTTAGACCTTAATTCTACAAATTTATTAATGACTTCATAAAAAATATTTAAAAAACTATAATCAGGTGTATCTACCTATTTTTTCTCAGATTTATCAAAAAGGTACTCTTTATAAATTTTGAATTAATTGTTTTTCACATGGGTAATTAATAAAAGGATAAATGTCAGGGACTGTTTTAGACATAAGGATAAGGTTGGCACAGATTCATAAAAATTCCATTTTATAATAAATTTTAAAAATTGCAGTACTTCCCATGTAATTTTTCAGAATTAAATCTAATAACTTCAAATATCTCTGCAATAAATGAAATAACCTACTAAAATATTTTTATCAGAAAATTCATCAAAGATTGTTATTCTATTTGGTAAAAATCTAAGAGTTGCTGGGGATTTGGAACTGCTTGAGCTTTCTCTGTGTGCAGTTTGTGTCTGCAACCTTTGTGATACTACATATGTGTTTCAACAGATTTGAGTTAAACAATATTAGCACAGTAATTATAAAAGTGAAAACTCAGAACTTGAGTTCTTACCCTTAAAAATAAATACATACAGGCTGTAACAAAAGAAGGTTTACAGTTGTGAGAATGTGGAACAGTTTATTCTTGTGTTATTATTTATTAATTAGAGGCCTGGTGTGTGAAATTTGTGGAGTGTATGGGGGTTCCCTCAGCCCGGCCTGCACTTTCTTGCAGTCCAGGAGCCCTCAGGGGATGTCTGACTCCTACACCGCCACTGCGCTCGCCAGCTGTGAGCCCAGCTTCTGGCTGAGCAGTGCTCCCCCTGTGGGAGTGCATTGACCACCAGAGGGCAGCTCCTGTGTTGAGTGTCTGCCCCCTGGTGGTCAATGCACATCATAGCAACAGGTTGTTCTGCTGTTTAGTCAATTTGCATACTAGCCTTTTATTATATAGGACTATTGTATTATTTTTCATATGGACAACTGTAAACCTACCTTTGCTTCACCCTATGTATTTGAATCTGCATGCTCAGGAGTCACCAATGGATCTGGCATTCTCTGTATTAATTTCCCTTTTGCACATAATATTTTTTAAATAGTAAGTAATAAAAAGTGCTCTTTGAGGTTTACATGCACATGATTAAAAATAATACTAACATTAGCACTGGATATAAGTTAAACAAAAAATATTTTTTTGTTGTTAGAAAACTGTGTTATCATTTATGTTTAGAATCACTGGTGTATGGCAATGATGAAAAACAGATCTACTTTCAGCTGTGTGGGCTAGTTTTCCTATTTGCTGCACTCAGGGTACCCCTTTATTTCTCATGCGTAGGTGGACTGCTCACACGGTCTTGCCACGGTCTTGCCCATAACCATGGAGACTCATGCATGTTATTATGAGGCTCATTTATCTGCGTCTAAATGGATGTGTTCTGTAGCTTGATTGAGGCAATTGACCATATTGCAATAATGTGACCTCATCATATTCCCTTGAAAGCACAAGTAATGTCTTACCACCGAAACCTGGAATTTAAGAGCTCCAGGAAGAAGGCAAAGGGCCCTGGCCAGAGGGGGTAGCGTCTGTGTCTGTGTGCTTCTCCTGCAAATCACCCGGGGCTGAGTGTTCCCTCTGCAAGTGCACATGAGGCATGAGGCGTACAAGGGAAGGGATTCTTTTATTGGTAGTTTTGACCTCCTTTCACTACAACAACTGAGGCTATCACTGGGAGGAAACTCCTGTCTTTAGTGTAAAGTAAGATCCCTGGTACCTAACGGCCTGGAACTGAAAATGTGGAGTTGAGTGCCAACCATTTCATAATGTGAATATAATAACCACAACATAAATTTAATAAAAATTAGGCCCCAAGGCCACTTGATTCATTCCAGGAGCAGCTAATGTCATGGCTTATCATCACAGGCTAATGAGTGATGATTTGGTGTTAATTATGTTGCAATGTCCAATTTGTACTTTCTGGTGCTGTATTTTGACTTTGGGGTTATACAAAAATGTTTTAAATGCAAGTCATATTACATTTGATGAAAATGTAAAATCCATGAGGATTAAGTTATAAACAACTTGACAATTAGGTACTGTTTTTATTCGTATTTTACAAATGAGAACACTGAGCCTGCACAAAATAGAAAACGCCTCAGGTCATGGTGGCTCTGGAGTCTACTCTCAAATTTTACTCAAAGGCCTTTAATGTATTACTTCCCTCTAGGTCAGGGCTCACATTTGCCAGATGCAAAACAATTCAAGTTCTCAGTTACATGAAATTTTGCAGAGTGGGATTTCTTACACCAGGACTGGCTTTCTATTAGGGTTTAAAGCTAAGGAGGGAGAGTTCCAGGGTGGCATTTGACCTTTGATAATTCAGGTCTTGCAGTTGATGACTTTGTGAAATAAATACCCATGTTTTGTTTTAGAGGTAAAGGAGAGGGGCCATCTCAGGGTGCTGCGAAAGAAGGGATGATTCCAGCTATGGAAAGGGGCTGTCTTCTCCTCAGCCTCAGTGTATTATTTACAGATTCAGAAAATTTTTATGTAATAATCTATATATATAAAAGTCTAAGTGACCATCCGACTGTCCGACTGGTAGCTATGACGTGCAATGACCACCAGTGGGCAGATGCTCCAACTGGTAGCTGTGACATGCACTGACCATCAGGGGGCAGATGCTCAATGCAAGAGCTGCTGAGTTGCTGTGGCTTGGTAGCGGCGATTCTAGGGTGATACATCCCGGAACCAGAGAGGAGGGAGCCTGATTCTGGGGTTTGTCACCTGAGAACCTTCCTATCACAAGCCAAGACCCCTCAGGGGATGTTGGAGAGCTGGTTTTGGTCTGATCCCCACAGGCCAGGCTGAGGGACCTCACCTGCCTGAGGGACTCTGCTCACTCCACAGATGCCCTTCGAGCCATGGTGCCACCTCAGGAGCAGCCGGCTGGGAGGGGCCACGGGAGGTTGGCTCCAGGGTATGTCCAGCCCACCTCGCCCAGTCCCACCCAGCCACCCACCTTCTAATTAATTTTCTTTCAATCTGCACAAATCCATGCACCGGGGCACTAGTAGAAAATGTAACAGCATACACTCAATTGAGAAAAATATGGTGATTGATTCTACTTTTGGAGTCAGATTCTACTTGCTATTTGGGAAACTTAGAGAAAATTATTCACACTGATTTTTTTAACCTATAAAAAGGAAATAAAAATGATGCCTTTCTTAAAAGGTTATCTTGAAGATGAAATGATGGAGTCTATGGTCACTGCTTAGTGCAGAGCCTGGAAGAGCTCACTATTCCAACTGTGCTGTGTGTACTTCTCCTCCTGTCTCTCTCTTCATGGATTTATCACCATTGCTGCCACCCAGCACCACCATCATCTTCATACCCTGACTTGAATGCAGATTGATACAGAAGGACAGAGTCAGGGAAGGGGCCCAGAGGTGGTGGGGTGGGGGGTGCCTGTGTTATCCCAAGCACCAGCACAGCACTTGCAACTATGTCTTCTTGGACAAGACACCTCAACTTTCTGAGTCTCTCTCTCTCTTTCTTTCTCTCTCTCTCTCTCTCTCTCTCTCTCTCTCTCTCTCTCTCTCTCTCCCTAGTAATAGGGTGAATGCTCATATCACATGTATTAATAACATAACATGGGAAGAGCACTAGATATTCCAGGGAGTGGGTCTTCTCCTTGCAGGAACAGAGCTGCCTAGCTAACCCAGCATTGATGGAATTTTGGGAGAACACAGTCAGAGCCAGAATAGACACAGGAAACCCAGAACCTTGGCACAAATGCATATTTATCAGATTAACATTGGTGTCCCAGGTCCCTATGCTATTACCTGAATTCTCACAATCAGGACCAACTGGGCCAACATGAGAGCTTGATGCTTCATGTTTGGTAGATATTACTGCTAATGGTAATTTTGATAGTGCAAGGTTTCAGTGAAGTCCTCTTTAGCTGGCTATCAACATACGATCCTGTATGCTGCTCATTCATGACATTATTGTGCCCTGAACACACTGACAACTCCCTTCATTTCTATCTGTCTCCCTTTCTGGTTTCAGCTCCTTCTGAGATCACTTTTGCAATTGATGTTGGGAACGGCCCCGTAGAGCTCGTAGTCCAGTCTCCTTCTCCTCTGAATGACAACCAATGGCATTACGTGCGGGCCGAGAGGAACCTCAAGGTGACCTCGCTGCAGGTGGACGGCCTCCCGAGGATGAGCAGGGAGACTTCGGAGGAGGGCCACTTCCGGCTGCAGCTGAACAGCCAGCTGTTTGTAGGTAGGGGAAATCTTAAGGTGCTCTTCCTGCTAGAAGCCCTACAAAACCACCCTGTGACCAGGCCCAGGGAAACTGCTTTCATTTGGACCTGAGAAATGATTAAAATGTGTCATAAAACATTTATAATGGTAAATTTTATTATACAAATTCTTTCTTGCTTGCTTCATTAGCCACAGCAATAAAAGATTATGCCACCCCATAGCAAATTTTAAGGTGATCTCAGACTCTTTTTGTACCTTTTCTCCTTGCAGATATGACCTTCAGCTATCCAGGGGCCCCTATTATTTTTCATGTATGATTATATAATGCCCTTAGCAAAAGAACAGATCAGCTACTTATCCCTTCCTTAGTGGTGCTGGCTCCAAGTCAGTGGGCCATACTCCCCCTTTCAGCTGATACCTAATTCCTAAGAATTATCACTAACAGTGTAATGAAATATACTGACCTTCTGAAATGGATTTCCGTTATTAGTGATACGGGGAAGAAAGTGCTAGTTTTTAAACGAAGGACTTCGTTGATCCTCCTGAAATCACATCCTTGGGTGGCTGCCTTACTCTTGCACAGAAAAGCAGTCCTGGTCTCCAGCAAATGACTCTGCTGCTCATTCCCTCCATGAGACTCAGAATCAGGGTTCAGACAAGTGGTTCGTCAGAACTGGCTGCCACTGCTGGTCACAGGGCTGGAAAGACTCAGACATTATTCACTGATTCATTCATTCATTCATTCATTCATTCATTCATTCATTCATTTCAGTCACCGAGCACATAAAATATGTCAAGACCTTGTTGGATGGTGGAGATATTGGCAGGCAAGTTGTGTAATGACACTACTTTCAGAGCACACAGTTGTGTTGTGTGTGTGTGTGAGAGAGAGAGAGAGAGAGAGAGAGAGAGAGAGAGAGAGAGAGAGAAAGAGAGAGAGAGAGAGAGAGAGAGAGAGAGAGAGAGAGAGAGAGAGAGAAAGGAAGGGGGGAGAGAGAGAGAGAGAGAGAGAGAGAGAGAGAGAGAGAGAGAGAAAGGGGGAGAGAGAATGAAGGAAAGTGAAAGAGAAATTTTAGCTACATTAGTTCAGGTAGGAAAGGTCAGGACGGACTTACAGCTATAATTTAGAAATGACTTTTTATAAGAATGTTGAGCAGGGCACATAACGCTTTAAGTACAAAATAGAGCTGTAAATGTTGGGGATATTCTAATATTATCAAAGCCAAGAAGCTGCTCTTCCATAAAACGTGAAGTTTAGATGTTTAGAACAATTATATAAATAGGTTCCAAATGTGGCCACTATATAGGATTTCATTTTCTTTCATTTTTCTTATTTAAACAGCTCTCACAGTACATCACCTTCCTGTTAGCAACAAGATCCCATCAGCAATCTATGGATGTTTTTATTTGTTTCCTTTAAATTTGGGTCTGTACAATTTTTAACTCTGAGGGAAGCAGTCACTAAAAGCACATAAGGTGAAAGAAAAATAACAAAATATGTAATATTTTATTTTCTCAGCAGGAATCATTCTTCATCTGTCATGTTTTTCATTTCTGACAGAAGCTTAGATATAAGTGATTAAAATTATATGTTTATAAAGCATTTACTTAATTAATAACCTACTTAAATGATAAAATTTACTATTAAAACATTTATAAAATTTATATGGATGTTTAATTCTATTTAAACATCACATTTTATTTTTCTGAAGAAGTCTGTTAGTTATCAAAATTTAATGTGTTTCTTTTTGAAATCAATTCAAGTAGTTTCCAATTTTCATAAATTATATTCATGCCAAAGTTTAATTTATCTTCAGGCAGTATGTATGAATCTTTCAGGCTAAAATGTGCATATAAAGATGGAATAATTTTTGATGCTTTCATGAAAATTTCATGGAGCTATGAAATTATCATATGTCCTGAATATGTGATAACTTTCTGCAAGCTAACAGGGAAAAGGAGGCAGCCATGCGTCGTGGCAGGTTTTTCTCCTGATGTTCTGACTAAATTGCTCACAGAGACAGTGAGCTGGGAGCGGGTGGGTCTGGAGGAGATATTGGGCTTGAGGTGGAGCCAAGGCCAGCTGTGGTGAGAGCACCTGCTTCTGTTTCTCTGCAATACATTCCATCTCAAACGTTACTCAGCTTTATTGAATTTGTCTTCATGCACTTGAAGAAAAGTGCTGTTGAAGGCCATTTTAGTTTGTTGGTTTGAATTTTGTTGTTTCATGTTCAGTGATACATCCATTTAGAAATATCAGGAGGCTGGAAATGCTGAAGTTGCAATATTTCTACTTTTATAATTGACTGGTTCATAAAAAGAGCAAAAACTAAAATAAAACAAACAAATAAAAAGCATGTTCTGCTTAGTTATAGCAGCCAAAATGAAGAATCACATTCCCTATCATTTAGAAATGTAGAGACACTGGATAGTGTTATGTATTAGGCAGAAAAAGATAGCATTAGTGTGTACTCCTTTCCTGGGATAGATTGAGTGTGACACTACTTAAATATTAATTTGGTTGTGTCTGACCAGTTACCTTTAGCCATTGAACTATTTTTCAGTCAAAGCAGAGCATGGTTCAGCATTGCATCGCTGGTCCCACTGCTTGCTCGTGGGTGCTTCCTGGGCAGGAGAGACGGGCTGAATTTATAATATAGGACGCCCCTCTGGGAATGTGACAAGCTGGAGTGTTGCTACATTAGTCAATACATGCTGGATTCCCATAAGTAATATTTTCAGTCCAGGCTTTTATCTCCATGAAGGTTACATTTACAACCATGTGATTTTGCTGGTCACTTTCACAGAGTAGGAGAAACTTTATAACAGGTGGCCTCTGAAATGTCTGCTGCATGCCTCGACTTCCATCTTTAGCACTCACTGAGGTCTCACTGTCAGCTTTGCTGTTTCCTGCTAATGTGCCAGTCGCTGTGAGAATGAGGCAGGAGAAGCCCAAGAACAGGCACCACGCAAACAGTGAAGCCAGGAGATCTGGGTATGGATCCAGATGAACGGCCGGCAGGCCATGGGGTGTTGGTAGGAAGACAATAGCCTGAGTATGCTCACTGTCCTTACCCGCAGAATGAGAAAGAAGAGGCTGGGAACTGATTTTTTGCAATTTGAGGGTCTGCTATTACCACGCATCTATGAGGAATGGCATCTTTATCCGTGTGCCGTGTGTATGCAGCAGCAAGGATAAGCCTCATTCTCCACAAATCTGACATCCCAGTGTTCCAGATGTGCTGAAATCAAAGAGTTGGCATTTCGTAAAGGTGTTGGCCTGGGAGTCTCATTTTTGTGTGGCTTTACTTCCTTCTTACTTTTTTGGTCTTTCATGGAAACCTTTCCCCCCTTTTTGGCTTCGCTTTTTATTTGTGCCAAAACAAACTAAAGTTACTCCAACATATAACTCCTGGGGAAAATTCTATACTGACTTGATAAATCATAAAATTGCAGAGATCCCAAAATGCTACTCTTGCTTCCCCAGTGGCAGGGAATTAAAATTCCTGTTTTCAGGTGAATCGTGTCGAATGTGGTGAGGGCACACAAGAGAAATGGAGGTGCCTGTACCTGCACTCAGGAGGGCCTGGGATTGAGCTGTGTCTCTGGCAGCAGTGAGCCTTTGCCCAGATGCCACATGGAGGTTTTCTAAGAGGCTGAAATGATAAAGGTCATGTTTTGAAGAGTTTATTCATACTTAGTCCAAGAAAGAAGCATTACAATGAACACTCTTAATACCAAGAGTCAACTGAGGAGTTTCATACAAAAGTGCTTCTAGTGAAGCCAGCTGATGGAGTAAGTTGTCAGGAAGAGTAATATGAAAGCAAGAGGATAAATGCACATGCGCACATTACTTGGTAGAAGAAACCATGGAAGACACCAGGGGAAGGAAGGGAAAAATCACTTAGGTGCAACGCTGACCCAAATTGTCTAATCAAATAGTTCAATTTAGGATTTTAAGGATGTGAAGGCATATAGGCTTTGAAGATTAAAAGGTCTCAGTCTGGTTCCTGGCTATGCTATGTTAAATCTGTTTTCATCCTGACTCTGGCCAAAGCAATGTCTTTGACATTAAGTTTTCTCAATTATGTAAATGTGAATAATATAGATAATATATTTTTCCACATTGAGTTTTTGATGAGTTCATTATAAAATTTCTAGCAGACAGCAAATGTGTTTGATTGTTTTTAGAATTACAGGCATTTTTCTGATTCTCAAATGTCTTGCAGATTAAATATGACCCTCAATTAAATGATTTTCAGTAGCTTTAAGGATAATGCTACATTTTTGTTGTTCTTTTACTTTCAACCTTGTGTAAACTCTAGACAAGATGCAGCCAAGTAAAGATAAAAGTATACAGGAGCATGTGAAAAATAAAATGAGTGCAAGATCCAGGAAGGCCTTGTGAATGATGGAAGTGACCATGGTGGGGATGCCCTCTCTTAGTGCAGCTGAGTCTTGGTGTGCAGGAAAGCAAGTTCATTGTCAACAGATCTCCTAAAATTTTTAAAATAGTTTTGTTTTTAGAAAATGGGAAAATTAAAATAAATAGAGTGGGGAAGAAGTATGTGAACTAAGGAATGCATGTATATGAGCGTAGATGTGTGTTTTTGTGATGGTCGGGATGAAGGAGAGGAGCCATGGAGTGCATGGGGGAAGATGCCACACAACATAAATTCAAAGTACATGAGGAGTTCTAAAGTCAAGATGGACCATGGAGCACTGGGGAGCCATTAGCAAGCGGTTCAGATGCCTGCTGCCCTGAAGTCACAGCAGGAAGATGGAGAGATAAGTGGAGACTGATCTTTCATGGTATATCAGCTGTGCTAAGGATTTGAATTTGATTTTCTGCAATAACTACTCTCTGAAGGGTATCAAACAGGACTGGCAGAATGAAATTTTTATATGTGGTTGTTCTATCCCAGTGATGGCGAACCTTTTGAGTTCGTCATGTCAGCATTTTGAAAAACCCTAACTTAACTCTGGTGCCGTGTCACATATAGAAATTTTTTGATATTT